CCGCCGGTCGGCCCGCGACTAGTTTGAATGTATGAGAACGCCCGAAGAAAATTCATTTGGCAGTCAACGGTGACAACCCCACGAGCACCATCTGCGCGTACATTAATATCGGCATAGTGGGGAACCCAGGGCGTGATGCTGCAAGCAAAGTGAATATTATAGATCGGATTTAACCAAGGACACGTGCTGTCAGCCTGTCTGGCTCCAGTTTGAACGTATAAGAACGGTCGAAGAAAATTGTCTTGGCAGTCAACGGCGACCGACGTCGGAGCGCCATTTCCCTGTAAATTAGCATAGCTGGAAATCGTGGCGCGATGCTGCGAGCAAAGTGAAGCATGTAGATCAGATTTTACCATACACACGTGCCGTTGGCCCGCCCGCGGCTAGTTTGAACGTATGAGAACGGCCGAAAAGATTTTTTTGGCAGTCAACGGTGATCGACGCACGAGCACCATCAGCACGTACATATTTTCAACGTGGTGGCACTGCTCAGCCGAAGGTCCCTGGCTATACCAATGTACAGGAATAGGGCGGGGACACGTTGGCGACCTGTCGGCCAAGGGAAATGACCTAAGGCTGACGTTAAGCATTTAATCTGGTGTGCGGCATGCCTAGAGATAGTGCGCATCAAAAATTGCACCCTCTCTACTTCAATGTGGTGGAACTGCTCTGCGTAAGGTTCCTTGCTATACCACCGTAAAGGGGGTAGGGCTCGGATACGTCAGAGACCTGTCGCCCAAAGGAATTGACGTAGGGCCGACGTTAAGAATTTGATCAAGAGTGTGACATGTCTAGAGAAGGTGCTCATCGCAAATGGCGCCCTCGCTACTTCAACGTGGTGACAGTGCTAGCGCTGCTCTATGACAGGTTTCTTGCTATACCAATGTGGAGGGTTAGAGCGCGTATGTTTCGGCGACGTGTCACCGAAATGCAAGAATGCGAGGACGCGATTTTTTGCGATGCGCTTCTCTATGCATTCCATACTCCAGATTATATGCTTAACATCGCTTCTCCGTCATTTGCTTTGGGCGACAAGTCTACGCTACCGGTTCCGGACGA